TCCTTGCCTTTAAGATTAGCATAGTCTGTACCATAAAGATACCGATCGTGTTAACCTGGACAGCAGAGCGCTAGCTCTGTTACGCTGTCAGGCTCTTTTCATACAACTGAATCTAGAAATGAGCGTTTCAGTTTGTTCTGTGTCCCAGTGTTAAATAGCGATGTCAGTGCCAACTGCTACTGTGTTTTATGAATCCATACTATGTTACACTGATTGTAACGCGATCTGCCCAGCGTTGCTGTGCCCAAAGGGAAAATTCAGGTATCTCGAGTTAGGAAATTAAACCCCAAACACCACTGAACAAGAGTTAGGTCCCAAAATGTGTTCATAGCTCACAGACTCATTCAAACTTTTCCGGTGCCTTGTAGCTCAATACACTAACACCGTGGTTCCCCCCTACCGAGTTGTCACTTTGTCAAATAAAGCATTTAAAACTCTCGGTGTTAAATCTATGTGCTGCACATTCTCATATTTGAAGCTATAGTAGATATTTAGATTTGAGAAACAGACTGAAAGGACCGCATAGATACATTTTGACTAGAAAGAAATCGTCAATTTCCTGTATATATCCGAATCATAAATATCTTCTTAGTTAAATATGTTATCTGATTTTGTTTCCTTTCTCCGCAATGAATGCATGTTTTGCAGAGTGCATAAAGGGTATGTATGTATTTCCATATCATGTTATCCATATGCCATCTTTTTTATTTAGACATTAATTGTCAGTATTTCGTTTTTAAATCACCATTATATTTCATTTTAAGTTTAGCAATAAAAAGACTTAGGATAATTTTTCAATGAATGATGACATACCATTTCATTCAGAATAAACTAAAAAATGGAACCAGATGGAGAAGAATCTAAACAACCTTCAGTTTTGTTCATTTGCAAATGTAATTTTAGTGTTATGTTTCCTGTTTATATAATGTTTAGCTAAATGATTTTAAACGTTTTTTAAGTAGTATTTGTTAAGACTGGGTCTGAATGCCTGGGATTTACTCTAAAAACACAGCGAGGCAGTAAAAGGGACCCCCAAAAGATTTTTTTTGTAATCTCTTAGCTCTTGTTAATGCAAAGAGAACACATCTAAAATAGAAAACGTAGTGCTGAATTTATTTTAGCCCGTCCGATTTTCTCTCGCTGATTGCATTTCGAACATGCCTATGTCTTCTACTTTTTTTTTTCCCAGAATGAAAGACTCTAGCAAAAAGAACAATATTTTTGCACAGTTCAGGAAGAATGATCGCGACAAGCAGAAGCTAATAGAGACAGTAGTAAAACAACTTCGAAGTTTAGTGAACGGTATGTCCCAGCACATATAGACCTGTTAGGTCTCTTGTGTCTCATCCTACCGAGATGTATTTCTTGGCCACTGTTTCTACATAACAGGCAGCGCTGGAGATTCGGACTTTCGTTTGAATAAAGGAAAATGTGTAGAGGTGGCTCATATAGGAAGACTGCAGCAAACAATACTTTGTATGTATTTTAACGAATTGAATTGAATACTATTTTATATATTGTAAACAAATGGCGTAATTGGGACTGTAAAATAAAAAGCTGGTCACTCATACTGAACATGCAACAGCTGAACTGTAAATACATTGCTTAGAATTGGTAGCTGTTACATACGGATTTTTGCTTCAGTTAGAAATTACTTGAAAAAGTTTTGCTATAATCCTTTAATTGGCGTTTTTCGAAAAAAAATCATAATTTAATATTTTTAAACCTTAAAATACTTGCATTTCAGATGTTGCCTATCATTTTCTTTTTAGTAATTGTATATTAGCCTTAAAGCGATCGGCACATAATTTTGTATGCCAAATTTTGTAGTCTGGAGGTACGAAAAAAATCTTCTGATTTTTTCTACCCTTTAAAACTACCTGGAAAACTAAACTTTATATACATTCAGTGTTAGGGCTTATTGCTTTTTTCTTCAAAAGTGGTTTAATCTTGAGTTCATGAATGTAAATAACCAGTTGAATTCTCTGCCGTGTGCTTTGGTTTCTGTCCTCAGGGGTAACATTTATAACTGTACTTTTGTAGATGATTCCTGGTCCCGTTTCCCCCTTCCAGACTAAAGTAAGGGATAACAGATTTACGCTATCTTATCCCATACCAAATCCCGGTGCGGCAGGAGGTCTGCTTATACAAATAGAGCCATCCCAATAATTAGAATTTCCTCTTACAACCCCCTAGTTATCTCCGGCCTGTAAGTGTTTCCTGGCTATTTTAAACATAACGAGAATGTATAATAAATACAAAACGAACCATCTATGGAACATGTATAAAGAATGTACATTTTGCTGTATTTTTAAGTTATTGGCAGTCTAAATACAGTAATATAAATCTTACCCTTATTTTTGAATTTAATGTATTAAAATGCATCTCAGACTTAAATTTCGCGTCGGACTGAACAGCAGAGGTCATTTCCCCTCTTTTCTAGCTCGGAAATGATTTACTCTCCTTTTCCGTGGTAAGCTAAGGACTGGATAAGCTCCTCTGTACCCGCCTTCACCTCCGTGATGGAAATATTAAACACGTGCCACACACTGTCCATACGGTGTCATTGTCCGCATCCGTGTTTGTGTGTCCCGGGCGCGCGAGGAGCCCCCCAGCAAAGGAGCAGGAAGAATTTCTCTTCGCCCTGGGGATTTCCCTGGGTGTGAAACGAGCTGAAAATTCCCAGCGAAGTGACTCGGGCTCGGCGTGGCCTGGAGATCTCGCCCCCATCTGAGCAGCAGAGTCAGGAAAGTTCCTATGGGGTCAGTACTTCTCCTAAAGTGCATTGTTAGGTGTTTCCCAGCAGGGATGGAGCAGTAATGGCCAAAGGGGGGCACGGAGGGATTAGCTTTGGGAAGCTGGACCGGGCGCTGTCGCTTCGGCTTTGCGGGCTGCCTCTCCAGTGTCTTCCTTCCTGTCTGGTGTCCCCTCCAGGCGCAAGTGGCTGCCATGGAAGGGCTTTCAGTCCAGGTTCCCGTGGGAGGCGAGCAGGCTTGGGGGGCTCCCTGGCTAGTCCTGCGCTCCCCGTGTGGACTGAGGTGCTCTACAAAAGGGTACTGACCCCCCTCAGATCCTCAGATGATTAACGCTGAAGGAGCCTGCTCAGCCCTTTTAAAAGCCATTTTGGGGAGGGGGGGAGACTTTCACCGGGCAGTGCCCGCGAGACGAGGAACTTGTTGGCAGGCGGGGTGAGGTGCGGTGCGCAGAGGAGTTATAATTTCGGGATCATTCAAAGAGAAGGCATTTGGCACCTGAATGAAACAGGCTCTGGGGAGTTGCTGACCCAGCTCAGACACTGCCGTGCTTGTTTGGGGACTTCCCGTGGCTTTGGAAATAGAGAGGGTCCCTGTGAATTGAGAAATATCCAGCTACCCGAACCGCCCTTTAAAGAGCAATTTCCCACCCACCCTTCCTCAGCCCCCACAACGGGTTTGTGATGCGCCCTCCTTAGACCCCGGCCCATGTGCTTCTGTGACTCTTTCAGCCCCTTTGTAAAGGCAAACCCGCCCTGTCTCGGTGCAGCCCTAGACTGACCAGTGACATTTTCCCACCGAATTCCTTCTACGTTGTTAGGCTTTGCTGAACCACCCTAACCTCTTTCCTAGGGGGGCACAGGGGCGCTGGATGTAGTGACATGGGCTTGTTAGCTGTACCTTCAGCAAACAGGCTTAATCAGGCCTGGAGCAAAGGAAAGCGGAGACAATTCTCCAGAGGGGCCTCTAAAATTTCAGGGAAGGGAGCGCCACTGAACCTTGGCATCCAAACAAACAACAGGTGTCTCCTGTAGGCTGCAACGCCAAACGCCAAAGGATGCAACTGGAGCTGCGTTAGGAGGCGGGGATGGGGTGCGGGGCTACCAGGAAAGTTGGCAAACTGCTTGGCTGCCGGCCGAGGCCAGCGCCTTGGGAGGTGCATGTTGCTGCTGTGCATGTGGTGTATGAAGATGCTGTCCTGACGTAAGGAGGCAGAGTTTTCCTTTGGACCAAGCGGGTAAGAATAAACAGAACCCAGGGAGCAGTGCTCCCACTGACGCCAATAGGACCCATCCTGATGCCTTCGGATGGAAGCAGGAGCCAGGCCGGCTTTGAGCCAGCAAGGTTCTCCTGAGGAGCCAAATCCAAGCCTTCCTGCTGTGCAGGGCTCTGCGTGGGGCTAATACAGCTCCCAGGAAGGACTGAGCGGAGAAACTGGCTCGGATCAGAAGCCCTGGCCCATTATTAGCCGGATCCCACACTGCTCACGCAGGCAAGGCGCTCAGTGACATCAGGCAGAGCTTTGCCTACGTGCGGAATAGGGCACGTTAGTGTCACACTCGGCCCAGCGCTCCAAGGCCGTGACAGTGCCGGTTCGGATTTAAATAGCGGCCCGTGCTGGGCTTTCGGCAGTAGGCGCCCTGCTCTGCGCGCCCCTCCCCTGGCAGGGCAGCCTCCCAGGCAGCACTTGCCGAGCCGCGCGCAACATAGAAAGCTACAGGTAATGTCAGCAGCGACCGGCTCTCACACAGCTGGAACGTGCAGCTCAGTGGAAATCTTCCCCCGCTTGCTCCAAACACGCCGCGGCCGGCCCCGCGCGCTCCCCTGGCAGCGGTTTGAGCCCTGCTCGCGCTAGGCAGCAGAGGGCCTGGCGGGCGCTCCTGGGGGCAGGGAAAGGGCGTGTGCAAGCGACAAACGTGCTCTCCAGCTCAGCTTGGTGGTGTGAGGCACCGTCCGCCTGGCAACCTGGGCTGCAGGGTGCGCTCCCAGTGAGCCGGGAGGGGTGGGGACGGGACTCCCGAAGCACCCTGGGAGGGCAAGGAGCGCGAAAGAACCGCGCTCCCTTTGAAAATAGCGGCTCAGTTCGCGCGGAGAGGTTTGTCCCATCTTGGGGAGCGTGAAAGCCAAGGAATGGGACGGGCCGGTTCCATTCGCAAGGAAGCGCTCTGGGGCGAAGCGCCCGAGGGTCCAGCCCGCTCTGGGTTAGCGCTGCAGACCGGGGGAGGGGTGGGAAGGTGCTGTGGGGGAAACGTGAGGGGCTGGCAGGCCGCTAGTCCCGCTGGGCTCCAGGGGCGTGCGGGTTGGCCGGTGCGGGGCTGAGAGTGGGAGTGAACTGTGGCTTGCCTGTCATTGGTTACCTGGGTCCCAGCCCTCCAGCTGCAGGATCTGTCACCGCAGCCCTCTCCCCTCCGCGGCTCCCCACATTCCTTCAATCAATACCCGCACGTCGCAAGGCTCCAATCATTGCACTTCGTCACGCGCGTGGAGTGTGCAGCCGAGACGTCATCCCCGAAGGTGGATCGGGCCGTCCGCAGCCACTATCCTATAAAACTCGCTAAAAGGGACGGGGGCAGAGGAACTGGGCTGCAGACTTGCCCTGGCGCTGCGGATCATTGGCTTTATGAGCGCCGCCGAAGTGTTGCGGAGCCGTGAGTATCCGACACCCCCTTTCTCTGTGACAGATGTCGCTCTGCCGGTGCCCCCGGGGGAGCGGCGCCGCTTTCCCTGGCTGGCTAAAGTTAGAAAGTGCTCAGGATGCTGGCGGCAGCACCTGGAAGTGCGGCTGCCCCAAGCCAGGGGAGCCGCCTATTGCCAGGAAGTTTCTCCAGCGGAGCCCTGGGTTGCTGCGCTCAGCATCCTGGCGCTCTGATTCCTGGGACGCGCGAGAGAGTGGAGCGAGGGGGACACGTTAGCTGGGAGGAGGGTCCCTCGCTCTCTCGTGTCTCTGTTGAATGAGCGGGGCCGCCTTTGCTAGAAGACAATGAAACCCCAGCCCGCAAACTGCCGGGCGCTGGAAGTGCGGGGCGCGGGGCTGGCGGCGAAGCTGTGGCGCCAGCAGCTGAGATTCTTTTTAACTCCAAATAAATCATTTCTGCCAAGTGGCTGCCTTCACCTTCCCCTCACCCGCTCCAGAGCGTGAGCACCTTCCCTCCACCCCTGAACTGCTCCCGAGCCGGGCGCGCTGTCGCGGGGCTTTTGCAGACGATGTGAAACCGAGGGCCAGTGTCTCTTCTTCCTTCCCTCCCGACAGCCTAGTCCCCTGCCCCGCTCGCCAGCGGCAGCGGCGCTTTGCCGGGTGACAAGCGACACGTCCGGCGGGAGCCGAAGATGTTGCTGGCGGGGATGAGCGTGTGGTCCTGGCTGGAAGCCGCGCTCACTGCTCTCCTGGCCCTGGGGCTGCTCCTCGCCGCCTCCCGGCACTTGTGGACTCTCAGGTGGACTCTGAGCAGGGACCGGGGCAGCTCCCTGCCGCTCCCCAAAGGCTCCATGGGGTGGCCGTTCTTCGGGGAGACCCTGCACTGGCTGGTCCAGGTAAAGGAGAAGGAGGAGCACGTCCCTCCTGCGGCAGTCTCCGGGCTGCAAGGCCAGGGCTGGGGCGGGCAAGGGGTGCCCTGCAGCGGGGCTTACCCCAGCGCTACCGATCCTGCGGAGCCTGCCCCCTCCCTCCCCACGGGGATCGGGCCATTCCCGGCACTGGCTGAAACGTGGGGAAGGGATTGAAATGCTTCTCATTCCTGAGCCACGTGGGCTCGGGAGCCGAGCCCCCCAGCCCCGGCGGCGCAGCGAGCTCCCCTCCCGCTCCCGGGCAGCCGGGGACGCGTTTGGGGCTGGGGGGCTCCGCAGCCAGAGAGCCTGAGCGCGGGGCTAGGGGCGGGCTGGCGGGACCCAGCGAGCGCTGCCCCGGCGGCGGCTCCGCGCTTGACCCGCCGGCTCCTTGTAGGGCTCCAGCTTCCACAGCGCCCGCCGGGAGAAGTACGGCAACGTGTTCAAGACCCACCTGCTGGGCAAGCCCGTGATCCGCGTGACCGGGGCCGAGAACATCCGCAAGATCCTGCTGGGGGAGCACAGCCTGGTCAGCACCCAGTGGCCGCAGAGCACCCAGATCATCCTGGGCGCCAACACGCTGCTGAACGCCAGCGGCGAGCTACACCGCCACCGGAGGAAGGTGAGCTCCGCTCGCAGCCCCGGGGCGCTGGGGGGCCGAGGGATGGGGAGTGACCCCGGGCGGTGGCGGGGGAAGGGGCGCTTGGGGCCGTGTCTAACTCCGCCAAGCCCACGCTGCTTCGGGCCAGCCTGTCGTCGCTGCTCAGCCCCTTCCAGCAGGAAGCCAATTGGCGCCCCCGGGTCCCTTGGCAGGCGCAGCTGCCAGCAGCCTCTTCTCCTTTCTTAACGCTCTGCCCTTCCCTCTCCCCAGATCCTGGCGAGAGTCTTCAGCCGCGCCGCCCTGGAGAGCTACCTCCCTGGGATCCAGAAGGTCGTGAGCAGGGAGCTGCGGGGCTGGTGCCGCGAGCCTGGCTCCATCGCGGTCTATTCCTCCGCTAAAACCTTGACTTTCCGCGTTGCAGCTCGGGTTCTGCTGGGCCTCAGCCTGGAGGAAAAGCAGTTCAAGGACCTGGCCAAAACCTTTGAGCAGCTGGTGGAGAACCTGTTCTCCTTGCCCCTCAACATACCGTTCAGTGGGCTGCGCAAGGTACTGTGCCCGAGTCGCTCCGCTTTGCTTCCCTCTGCTTTGCCTCCAAACTTGCAACCTACCGAGTACAGTCTGCCTTGCTTTACACACGTCCAGCCACAGTAGCCAAAATAAGACGAGGTTTTACCCAGGAAAGCTCCTGATTCTATATATCTTGATAGTCTAAGGTGCCACAGGACTCTCCTTGTTTTTAAAGTTCCAGACTAACACGGCTACCCCTCTGCGACGGTCCGGGTCCATGCTTTGTGCTCTAGCTTTTGTAACGAAAGGTGGATCGCTATTGCCATTTTAAAACACAGAGAATCGCCTACTCCCCATCCTTCCGTCTGGCCAAGAATTCCCTCTTACCTTGGACATGCCCCTGAATGGGTGACGAGTCGCGTTTTAAACAGATTTCATTGCTGTATTAGTTGCAGTGATCAGTTAGCTTCTCCCCCCACACACACTTCTTTTGCGCTGGTTTCTTATATAGTGTCAGATTATTTTCTTAGTACAGATTATTCTCTAATTACACCTCGTAGCCAAGTCTTTTCGTTTTGTTTTCTCATATATTTGCTTCCAGCACCTTTCCGTGTTGGCTTCGATTTGTTATGTTACATGCAGAGTTTTCCCTGGAGTGAATTTCAGTTCTGTGCTGCTATATTCTCAGCAGGCTAGTGATCTGTCAAATTCCTTTCCACAGATTATTGCCTTTGCTATTATCATGGTATTATCGTCTCCGCACACGTGTGCTGGCTCAGAGAATGCCGTTTCCTTCGGCTGAGATAGTCCTTGCTAAGGGCTATTTGTTGCCCTAATAGTACACAGACTGTTGACTCGTTTGTGCCATAGTTCTGTGGGTATGAGGGAGAAGAGGGCTAACAGAGATTCGTAGAATCTAAGTACAGAAGGGACCATTGCCATTTTCTGCTCTGACCTCTTGTGAAGCACAGGCCTAGAACTTCCCTCAGAATAAGACCCTGGGCAGATCATTTAGAAAAAACAGACGTGGTTTAAAAGTGTTCAGTGATAGAAAATCCACCAGGACTTGGATACATTGTTTCAAAGGCTAATCACTTTCACCATTAAACATTGGCACCTTATTTCCGGTCTGAATTTGACTAACTCCAATTTCCATTGGATTATGCCTTGGCTTTCTCTGGAATAGTCCCCACGGAGGTGCTTACAAACAATGATCAAGTCACCCCTTCACCTTCTCTTTGTTAAATTAAATAGAGTTTCTTGAATCTAGCACTGTAGGAAGCTCCATCTCTATCTAGTTGGTGACATTGGATGATCTCTTGGGTGTGTCCTCTTCCTAGGAGTTTGGAAAAGCAAATTAAGAAACAGAGTTTTTGTTATGTGGCATCCCACTGACATTCACATGGGTCATCAACAGAGTTGGACCCTTCACGTCCACTCACAGACCTCTGCCACTTGACCTAACAGAGTCACTGACCATTCTCTGCAGAGACGACCAGTAGGGGAGGATGAGACACCCACTGGGCCAGTGGGTTTCAGAGATATCTGTAGGCTCTCTGAGGAATGCTGAGATTCTGGAATCTTGGGTTCAATTTTAGGCACTGGAAGGGAGTATTATCTAGGGCGTAGACTCCTCTCCCTGTCCCTCCCCCCACACAAGCTTTATCCTTTTTACCATAATCCTTTCTATTCCCAATATCCCCTCCATTCCCAATTGCCTTGCCCAGTTTGCCCAAGCCCCATGGTTCCTTATCCCCCATGTCTTAGTTTCCCTGGGTCCTGGTCCAGTCTTCTTCTCTCCCTCCCCACCCTAGTCTGTTTGTTCAACCAATCCCGCTTCTTTCCTAGAACCCTGGTTCCTTATCAGATCTACCTTTCCTCTCCTCATATCCTTCCCCACATCCCATTGCTTCCCATTTTAATTTTCCAGCTAGTTACAGTCTCCTCTGAGGTCACATTAGATTTAATGGTTCCTCCTGGCCTTAAAATCTATGAACCCTCTATACATAAGAACATAAGAACGGCTGTACTGGGTCAGACCAAAGGTCCATCTAGCCCAGTATCCTGTCTGCGGACAGTGGCCAGCACCAGGTGCCCCAGAGAGGGTGGACCAAAGACAATGATCAAGCGATTTGTCTCCTGCCATCCCTCTCCAGCCTCTGACAAACAGAGGCCAGGGACCCCAATTCTATCCCCTGGCTAATAGCCTTTTATGGACCTAACCTCCAGGAAATTATCTAGCTTCTCTTTAAACTCTGTTATAGTCCTAGCCTTCACAGCCTCCTCTGGCAAGGAGTTCCACAGGTTGACTACACGCTGTGTGAAGAAGAACTTTCTTTTATCAGTTTTAAACCTGCTACCCATTAAACCCTTTCCCATCTAGCCTTCTTACCCCACCTAGCTGCCAATCCTAGTCTCTTTGCCCAACCAGTCCCAGTTTCCCATCATTTCACATCTAGTCCCAGTTTACCCTTTCCTCTCTTCCCCAGAGGACAGCCTTCGGTCTCAGTCCTGTGTTTTCTCTTCACAGCCTCCTTCTAATCTACTCTCCCTTCTGTGCTTTTGTCCCCTCTGCATATAAATCCCTCTGCTTTCTCCCATAGGCTATCTTGATGTCAAAAGGGGAACAGGGCATTGAAGTCATCTCAACTTCCTGCCGCCCAAAGCTGGAGCGTGCCCAGGGAAGATGGAATTCCCAGAGTTTTTAGCTGTAAAGAGCTAGCAAAATTCCAACATTTATAACTTGTCCAAATGTGGGTGGATTTTTACAGAGATGGCAAAAGTTCCAGACCCTGAAGGCTACGCCCGGCCAAATTTCTCATCCTGCATCAAAGCCTGTGAGAGCTAGAGACTCAAATACAAGGATGCCAAATTCTTTTAACAAGGACAAAACAGCCTATTTTTCACTCAAACAATTTCGATCAAAAATGCTAAAATACTTAAGCCTGATGCAGACATGGAAAAAATTTCAGCCCAAACACTTGAAGTTTGGCAAAGCTTTACACTGCAAGAAAACAGGGTCTTGTAAAAGGAAGTGTCGGGCAACTTTGGTAAGAAGTGTCAATACCAGCCCTATCTGGCACATCACAGGTTGTGTGGGTTGAAATACTTCGTTGTAATTTTGTTTGTTAGGTTTACTGTTCAGGTGCTGGACGATGTTAATGGCCTGTGATGATATTGAATCATAGCGTTTAATGCCGGAAGGGACCACCAGCTCATATAGTCTGACCTATATATGATTATAATACTATCCTAGCAAAATCTGTGAATGGATTTTTTTCAGTTTGGATTACCCTGCCTCTGGGCTTCTACAGTACGGTGATCTATAGGAGGAGGTTGGCATAAGACAACTTGCTTGTCACAGAACCAGACACCCTGCATTCTGAATGCACTTCTACTTTACATACTCACAGCTTTGGAGCTGATTCCCCCTTATCCTTAGATATTTGGTTGCATGGAGTGTTGCTTTAATGGAAATGCAGCCATCTGACACACATTTACACACAGTAAATTGGGCATGATTATCACATTATGCTTATCTGGAATAGCTAACCCCTTTGTCATTGCCTTTAAAAAACTCCTGGACCTTTCCTGAGCCCAGCATTCGACTGGGGTTGGCTTGTTAAGTCACCCTTTCTTAGCCAGGTACCACAGAACCCCCGTTGCTCTTAGAAGAAGCTGAGTTTGTTCATGGCAGTCATCAAGAAGTCACTGAGGCATCAGCTTTCCTGTCTCACTGCTTTCACCCTACAAGTGTTCCCCGGGCAGAAATTCCATTTACAGGATGCGTTGGAGTAGCACAGGGAGAATTTATTCACTTCCCACCAGTCCAACAGCCTCTTGCCAAGTGATGTCAGCAAAGACAAACCCAGACCTGAAGAAGAGCTCTGTGTGGCTCTGAAGTTTGTTTATCTCACCAACAGAATTTAGTTCACTATCATATATTACCTCACCTGCCTTGTGTCTCTAGCATACGCAAATTAATTTGGCCTTCCTACTATTTTAGTTGCCAGTTGGCAGACTAGAACTCCACAGAGCACAAAAGGGGTCTGGATTTGAGCCATATAGAGTAAGAGCGGTGGGATTCTTGGGATCCGTGAGTGTCATTTGTGGAGATCTCTTCTTATGGTGTTTCACTGGGGCTCGACAGTGCCTGATCAATCATGTCTGACTCTTCGCAGGGGATCAAAGCCAGGGATATGTTACATGAGTACATGGAGAAAGCCATAATGGAAAAACTGCAAAGAAGGAACTCAGAAGATCACAGTGATGCTCTGGATTTCTTATTAAACAGTGCCAAGGACCATGGCAAAGAATTCACCATGCAGGAGCTGAAGGTAAAGAGACCCTTCTTTGATGTTTGGCTTCTGTGTTTAAAGCTGCTGAAGGGAGGGATCCCTGATATCTCCACCTTTGTTTTACCTACTCTGGGGGACTCCATCACAAACAATTCCGAAAGCTTGTAGTCAAATGTCTTCCTCGCCCTAGTGCCCACGGGCACTAAACCTCGCTTGTCCACCTTGATAAAATAAGGGCCTGGGAAAACATCTCACTAGTTCTCAAGCCTAAGCATAGAGCAGGTGAAGCAGACATTTAGGAAGAGTGCTCCGGGGAGTACAAGAGAGATAGACATCCTTTTCATGGTTGCATTGCTTTGCATTTGAGATGAGTTAATATTTTAAAAGTAAATAAATGCCTCTGCTGTCCTCCTACCTTATCCTCTTGGCTTTTCTTCCAGGCATCTGCCTGGTTTTAACAGATGCTGCTAGGTTTGGCCAGCTCCAATGGGATCTCTTGCGAATCCATGTGTTCTCAATGCACTTCAAAATACTATCTTTGATATGATAGAACTGATTGTACATTCTTCACACTCTCCCATGCCTATTATAGAGGGGCCGATGGATCATGCCACTGCTCCAGGGGGCGGTAAACAGAGATCTTTGAAACAACATGACTCCTGGGATGGAATGATGGATTCTGGGGCACTCCTTAGGACCAGCTGGTTAATTGTATTACTGAGAGTGTGGATGTGCTCTAAACATGAGACAGCTCATTATTTAGGGCTAATTCGTGTCGTTCTTGGTCAGACAAAGCTTCCAATTAAAAGCAATGTGAGTTTTCCGAAGAACTACGAAAGTATTTGTCTTTAATAGTGAGTCACTTCCTATCACCATGCTGTTCTGGTCACCATAGATATAATAGACAATACTGAGCATGTTCAGTAGTTGACTGAAGTCTATTTGTAATTGCGAGGTTTTAAATATATCTAGGTATCCAGGAGTTACTAAACCTAAACTGGGTAACTGACCCCTCTTTCTCTTCTCCAGCTGAGAACCAACTGCTATTCTTACTGCCCTGGGTTTCCAAAACCAGTCATGTTTGGCTGCCCACCTGAGAGAACTGCCAAAATATTGAGGTCTTTCTAATTCACCTTCTTTCCCGAGCATCAGCCAGTGTCAGATGGTATGATAAAAATTATGCTCGTCTGGGATGAAATCCCGGCTCATTTGACTCCAAACTCCCATGAACTCCAGCAGGGTCAGGTTTTCACCCAGGATCTTTATCGGGTAGGAGCAGTTGATCTGTTTCTGTAAAGTTTCTGAGTCTTTGCTGCTGAAAATCTGGAAGTGTGTGGATGGAATGGCATTGTCTAAACATGGAAACGCAGCACTGTCTATTGGCGTCCCTTCCCCACCCCTCCCCGATACCAGCGGTAAAAGTAATGCGTTTCCTGAGACCCTGAGGCATTTAGTGTAGGCAGAAAAATTGATAGAGACAGATCACCTAGCTCCTTCAGTTTAGTTTATGCTACAAAGCAACAATATCATAGCAAGTTAAGTAAAAGAGAGCTTATGCCACAAGGCCATTCCAACAATCCTGCTGGCAGGAGAACAAGGAACTCTTATGGAGTCTTTTCTGTCTCCAATCTCCCCTATTTCTGGCATCTTCTCACGTGAGTGCAAAAGAGCCCCGTTTGGCTCCGAGCCAGGAAGCAGGATTCCTTGTGGCCGAGCAGGGTAACCGAGTAGATAAAACATTGGCCTCGTACCCAGGAGACTTGGGTTCTGCTACTTTCTAGTCCCCCCTGTGTGCTTCACTTTCCCGGTGTTTAACGTGGGATGCGGGTCTCCGGATGAAGAGGTCTGGAGCCTACGTGGGACTCCCCGACAGGGAGTCTAGTCTGCACATCGAGAGGTATCTGCTACTTTTCTGCTGAGTAAAAGGGCGTGTTGCTAATAGTGTAGCACAGCAGTTTGTGGGGGGACCCCCACATTTTATAACTTGTTTACCCTGGAAATAGTCTATTTTAGAGATTAATTAACATGACCAAATACATTCGATCTCGCTGTTTAAGAAAATCTAACCTATGGGGCAACAATCACGTACTAATTTGTAACTCGTGCTAATCAGTATTCTTCATCTAGATGTGACTGGAATAGGGGTCTGTGACATTAGTCAAAATAGATGAACATAACTATCGCTGTGAATTGAAGCACGGGGATCGGTACTGTTATATTTGTGGGAGTGTACCCAGACCTCCCTAAGGTATACGAGCAAGTGGAGATCCCAAGATGGGCAGAGCTGGCGTGGCTCACCCCATTCGAGATAGCTGTGATGGGGAAGGGAGTGAGCCTGTCTTAATATTAGTACGCTCTTCGGTATGCTGTGCAGGTAGGAGGGTGTTTTCCTGCGTCCGATGCATTTAAAGACCCTTTCCTGCGTATTATGAACTAATTTACGGTTACTGACGAATGTGACGGCGTCTTTTACTAAAATAAAAGAGGCAGCGGAATATTAGTGGAACGGTCTTCCTAGGTAAAGAAGTTGCTTTACAGCAATGGATACACATCTCCGAGGGTCTTTCCAAACCCGAATGTACACTAATTCTGTCTTGCTTTGCGTGTAAATAATTTCCAAAGAGTACTTTCTGCTCGCCCGAGATGCTGTAAATTATACTCGGGGAATGAATGCAGCACGTGCTTCACAAAACCAAGACTAGTAAAATCCCGGTTAAAAAGTCCCCCATTTTATCGAAATATGGATACACATCTCCGAGGGTCTTTCCAAACCCGAATGTACACTAATTCTGTCTTGCTTTGCGTGTAAATAATTTCCAAAGAGTACTTTCTGCTCGCCCGAGATGCTGTAAATTATACTCGGGGAATGAATGCAGCACGTGCTTCACAAAACCAAGACTAGTAAAATCCCGGTTAAAAAGTCCCCCATTTTATCGAAATTACCATCGCTGAAGTCAATGAGAACAGAATGAAGGTGCTACAGGGCGGTGGCAAATATTGGGCATATTGGTTTCTGAGGACGCACTAAACTAACCTGCAGTAAAGTCACAGTAAAGGTGCAATTAAAGCTGAAAGAAAACAGGTTAATCCTGAAGATTGTTCCATAACGAACCAGACTAAATAAGAGTCCAGATGAAGTCTACAGGACACCTACATTCCAGTGGCTATAAAAGAAGAAATAAAATCACAGATGACTGTAATGTCTTAGCTGCAGAAAGCCCTTGCCAGCCGCATTACTACGCGGCGCGCTGCTTTATTTTCATCCTTTGTGCGGTTACACAACACTCAGTTCAACAGCAGCATTGTAGAGGCTAACAAACACAAAGTGAGGAATCCTCGCCACTGACGCAGCAGTGACATCATCAGTTCCGAGGAGGAGGAGGAGGAGGATGTAGAAGGTGTCTGTTACCCTTCGCCGCGAGATTTCCCCGTGGAACTTCGCCTCGAAAGAACCAAGACGTTGCTGTAGCTAGTACCTTGGGGTACCTGGAATGCCTGTTCCCCCTACTGCGCACAGGTAAAGGGGAAAGCAGCCCTCCCCCCATCCGAGAGGTATCCTGGGGAGCCGGGACACTGACAACCCCCTCCCCCGCCAGCTGGACAATGATTCCTCCTTCACCCCTACCACACCTGTTGCTGTGCCTAGAACTGATAGCAAAGGAGCAGCCTTGCTATGGGACCCCTGCAGTGCCTCTGCCCAACCGGATTGGCTCTGGGTACTTCCTGTGTGCGTGGCTTCCCTTCCAGTTCAGAGGAAATAAGACCCCGGGGCGCTGCGAGCTGTTCCCAGCCCAGACGTGTAATTGTAAACTCCGAGGAAATCCTGCAGCGGGGCCGGTTCGCAGGGAGAAGAACCTGCACAAGAGTCACAGTGCGTCCAATCAGCTCCTCCACTAGGACTTGCTCCTGCCCCCCTGCAGCCCGCTGTCTTTTCTACCCAGCCTTTGCAAGTCTCTGTCCGGGTCACGGCGCCGCCAGCTCGCCCGTGCCTATGCTGGCAGTGTGGGAGAGGCTCTGGAAAAGCCTGGAAGAGGGAGGAGATCCAGCCTCATTGAAGTCAGTGGTAGTATTGCCATAAACTTCAATAGGGCAAGGATTTCACTGCTGTGTTTTGCACTCACCCCTTCCCTTCTTACAGTCTTTAACCTAGATGGGAGACAGCTGGAGTCATTTCCACCCTTAGATCACCCCCAAAGCCCTCTCTTTGCCACTAGATGGTGACCGGCAGTCTCTTGGAAGCCCAAGTTCCGGATACACTGTCTGCAGGGTTGTTGTAGCCCCAAAGTTTGTCTGTCTTTCCTGCAGAAGTGGGGAGGTATTATCTCTCTTCCTTGAGAGCCCTTGGGGATGCCGGGGGCCTCTCCTGTGTGTATTCTGCGCACGACTGTGTATTCTAAACAGCACCTGGGAGTGTGATATTGTGCCTTGCAAAGACCAAGCAACAGGACAGAAACAGCACAGACAGCGTTACAAAAAGGCAGGATAGGTATTGTCAAATATTTCGGTCGTAGTTTTAAATCCTGGATCCTGAGGTCACATCCTCAAGATGCACTTTCCCTTTTATTTGCGGGTGGGTGGGAAAGAGAAAGGGGAACTAAGAAACTTTCAGGATTTCACCTTGCATGAATTAGCTAGGGACTCGCTGTTTTCCTGTTAAATTGTAATGGAGGTTCCTAGAAGGCCCTGATTGTGCAGTTTGGGGGAGCCGTGGCTTTGGCTACAAGATCTGATGGATATTTTGTCTACTGTCTGCACATATAGCCCACTTCGATATCTTTCTGTGACTTGGCTGTTTGCAGAGTTGCCAGAGCCACACTGTGACAAATGTGTGTAAAGCACCCTATGGACATTAGTACATGTATAACACTAGAGCCGGGTGTTTTCCTCTGCTAATACACCTCCGTTTTTGCTTCTAGGAATTCCTAGGTTTGTTTTGTGCACGGAACTTAAAATGCCTAGGAAAGAGGCAGGCGGGGGACGGTGTCTGGAGTTCTTCCGTGGTTGTCTCGATACTTGTTATACAGGGCTCTGTCCTGCCAGGCGCTGAGCACTGTGATGCAACCAGCAAAGCCTTTACCTTTACGCATGTGAGCAGGAATATCCCCTTAAAGTTTAGCTTCAGGGCCTTGCAAAATCCAGCCCATGTGGCGGCACATGTTCTCTTTCTCTGTGCGCGGTGTAACCGCATGGGGCAGAGGCTGATGGCCTCAGGGGATTTTGAGCGATCGAAGATCACTGACAGGATTTTAGATGTTGTGTCACTAATGTCACTGAGCAATAAAAAAGCTTGTTCATCTACAAACTCTGACACGCAGTTGCCTCTGGGGCAAGCGAAGAATCCGGGATTTATCAAATACCTGTAACCAGGTAACACTCTATTGGCTACAGAGCAGAGGAGGTTCACGTGCATAATGTATGATGCCCACAGCAAGTGTCTTGTTACTTTCACTCACTGTCGATATGAGTCCAGTTCTATTCAACTACATGGGCTCTTTACATTGACTTCAGGGGGCGTTTGAACTAAAGGTACCTGTTTTAGATGATAGCATAGGAACCTAGCACTCGAGGATCAGCACCCACCTCCATACATGCAGAACACATGGCTATCTGGTGGTGATATTTAGAGAGAGGAAGAATCTGTGCAGATGAAGTGTAGTGTCTTGCTGCCGGAGATCCCAGGCCTGCCTCTGAGGACAACTCTCTAAGGCTAAGTGCGAAGATAACCTTTATTCGCAAAATCTGCAGTCAGACTCTTTCTCCCTTTCTTTCTCTTTCTACTGGTAATGTTTGCAGGTTCGCAGGGAGTAGTGGAACGAGGACATATGTGCTACGGGTGCAGTACTGTATAATGCTCAGTTAGCAAAGGAGAGCAACTAAAGTTATAGCAGTTTTAGTTTCAAAAACTCAAAGAGTGGAAATGAAGACAGGCCTCCTGGGGCTAGACAGCGCTGCCCAGAGGGAACAGGTGTGAGTATGATTTGAACATTAAAACACACATGCATTTAAAACTGTCACCTTTGATTATCTCACAGGAGTCAGCGATTGAGCTGATATTCGCTGCTTTCTTCACCACTGCTAGTGCCAGCACTTCTCTAATCCTTCTGCTACTGAAACACCCCTCGGCGACAGAAAAAATCAGACAGGAACTGGTATCCCATGATTTGAATAGGCAGTGCCATTGCCTTTCGCCTCGAGTCTCCCAAAAGAAGCACCCATATAGTGAACCTTGGGAAGATGCACCGAAAGACAGTGACTCCCAACAGCTACTCCTCTCCTGGCCAGAAGGGACGCCGAAGAATCAAAGTCAGAAACTTGATTTAAAAGCAGAAGGAGAGGTTGAAGGTCGTTTTATCCGACAGACTCCTTTCCAGAAGGAGCCCACGTTAAACAGAATGACACAAGACACAATTAGTTTGAATACAAATTCTCACCATTCAAACCACAGGCAAAAGGAAGCCAGCCAGCCTCCCAGCAGGCTGTCGGTGCCCACAGGGCCAATGACACCTGGGGCAGAATGTGATTGTCAACCGGAGATAAACTTGGAAAAACTGAGCCGCCTGCGCTACTTGGACTGCGTGGTCAAGGAGGTCCTTCGTGTGCTGCCACCCGTTTCTGGAGGCTATAGGACTGCCCTGCAGACCTTTGAGCTGGATGTAAGTGATCTGTGTGTTTGCAGTTTCTTAAAGACTCGGGTACAGCTTTGAACCAAGCAGCTTTTGTTCATTTATGTGTCTCTGCAGCGTGTGTTATCAGACAGTTTTACACCAATTTCTTCTTCCTCTCTAGTGACCTCTGGGTATTTCAGAGGGCTGATTTCCTAATAAGGGCAGCTGGGCAAATAGTAAAACTTATCTGCAGGAGGAATTTAGCTTTAGTATGAAACACCGACTAAACAGTAAGAGATGACATTTTGTCTCCTGCAGGTGCACTTAAGTTAGTGCAAAATACATTTGCACCGAGTTTTGCGTTTTACCATTGTAGAAAGCACAGTGCACAGGGGAATGCACACTAAAACCAGAAATTGAAAAACATAAAGCATCTAGAACCTAAATAACTGGTTATTTATTTGTAATAGTGCCCAGCAGGGTACTGGCCGCTTTCCTGAGCTACAGCTAACAGGAGAGTAAGCCTTGCTGGCGCACGGTCGCCCCAATGAACACAGCAGGAGGCGGGCTGCTTGTCCGATTAAGAGCTGAAGAAGCTGGCTCTAGATCCAGCTGGCCCCATCGCACGAGTCCTACGGGCCACTGGGGCTACTGGCGGGAGAGAGGGGACCCAGCACTGAGCGCCCTGCCCGGCCCGGCCCGGAGGACAAACACTAAGGCATGTCCGTTAACCCCGGCGCCCTGCAGGGGGCTGTGTCTGGAGCTGCCGCATTGGCAAGGTGTTTAGGGAGCATCCAGCGCCCCGCCCCCGACATAGCCCCCCGCTTGGCCTGCATGGAAAGAAACATCCTGCCCAACGCCGCCCCCCTCCCTGGAGAAAGCCGGAGCCGGTCTCTAGAGAAGGCCGGGGCGGGTCTGGGCAGGGCGGAGCGCCGCCCTCTGTCGGCCGACCCTCGGGATTGCTGTGGCGGGGAGCAGGGAGCAGGGAGCGGGCGGGTTCTGCCGAGGGAGCCGCAGAGCCGCTGGCGCCTCAGGACCCGCACTAGCCGCGCCGCAGGGCCAGGGCCCCGTTCGCTGATGTGCCTCTCCCCCCTCCCCTGCAGGGCTGCCAGATCCCCAAGGGCTGGAGCGTGATGTACAGCATCCGAGACACGCACGAGACCGCGGCCGTGTACCAGAGCCCGCCCGAGAGCTTCGCCCCGGACAGGTTCGACTCGGCCCGGCAGGAGGACGGCCAGGGGGCAGGACGCTTCCACTACATCCCCTTCGGCGGGGGGGTGCGGAGCTGCATCGGCAAGGAGCTGGCCAGGGCCATCCTCAAGCTGCTGGCCATCGAGCTGGTCCGCACGGCCCGCTGGGAGCTGGCCACCCCCAGCTTCCCCGAGATGCAAACTGTGCCCATCGTGCACCCCGTGGACGGGCTGCAGCTCTTCTTCCACCCCTTGCAGCCCGGCGGCGCCAGCCCCAGCCGCCAGGGGTCCCGGGAAGCGTGAGCGTGCGAAGCCGCCTCTCTGCTGCCGCGGCCCCTCGCTCCGGGGCGGGCAGGGCGAGGAGCGGGAGCTTCAGAGGGGCCGGGCGTGGGAGACGCCCCAGGATTTGTTTCCACGGGCCTCCGGTTCCGTTTCCTTGCCGCAGCCCCCTGCTACGGGGGCTGGGATCCGGCTGCTGAGAAGGCCCTGCCGCCGGGCCCAGCCATTCTCTCCTCCTCGGCTCCCTGCTGCTGCCCAAGGCAAAAAGGGGTTCGGGATGCAGCTACCGCCCGGGCTGCGCCTTCCAGTGCAGAGAACCCCTGTTGTCCGCTGGCACATTAGAAAGGTTTTGCTTTGTCCCACGCGCCCTGCACTCTTGGAGGGGGCAGCCGGGCGCGGATGCACAGACTCTGAGGGGCAATGAAAAGAAAAAAAGAGTCCAAATTCCTTAAACTGGAAAGGGTTGGCTGGCCTAGAGGTGATGGCTGGGGAAAGAAACCAGCCGGTTCTAGATTTTAAAACAGAATCCCTAGGGATTTAGATTCACGTGCTGCGTCTCACCTGACTCCTGAAAGTTCAGGGGAAAGCCCTATCTTCTGAGCATCCTTCTGAACCACACTAGTGCCCTGGGCAGCCCCCTGCTCTCTTCCTTCTGACCGCATAGAGAGTATACAGAAAACGGGAGAGAAAAATAGCTGTCTGTAGCAAATGTTCATTACAGCCGCTAACTACAGGTGGCCTGGGATTTCCTGTTCCACATGTAGAGGAATTTAATTATGCCATATGGGATATTTGTAAGGGAGGTTGGAGTGTATCACACTGGGAAATAGGTTTTAGAAATTCCCATGGTCAGTGAAGAAGAGAAACATATAAGGGGTCGCTGCAATCTGACAGGTCCAAACCTGTCAGAAACATCCCAATTCTGTAACTTCCTAAAAACTCTTTAGCTTTCCATAGAGTAACCTAAAGTGAATGTATTTCATCT